TGAATGGATTGAGGAGGTGAAGTCACCCGTCTCCTCCCGCAGCCCAGCGTGCCTGTACCCCAATGCAGAATACGAGCGCCCATGTCCTCCTCAGCCCTTGGGAGCCCCCCTCTTTCATGAAGCGCCTGTCCCGCCCCCCCTTTCTACCCCCACCCATGGCCGATAGGGCGGGATGGCCTTGGGAGCCACTGGAGCCAAGACCCTGAGCTCTCCCTTCCTCTGGGGCCGCGTGGTGGGTGGTGGCAGGATCAGCAGTGGCCCCCACCGTAATGTATTAGACAATAATAGATAAGGTGCGCAGCACGGAACTTCTTAGCACATTCCCTCAGTAGCCAGGCACATTGCCAAAGAGTAGCCTAAAGGCAACTATTAAGTTATGGTTGTTAGTAAATAATTCAAATCACATCCTGCCCAAAGTTAAAACGGCATGTGGGTTGCACTGCGTAGAATATTACCCTATAATTGCATCAGTAAGGTTGAGTATCTACTGTGGAGTTCCGTCTCATTTACACTGGGACTGATAACATAACCTGAATTGGGACTAACATCATATTTTCTAACTTATGGGAGCGTTGTGCTGTGCTGTTTATCTATTATTTTCTAATACATTACAGTGAGGAATTTCAGACAGGCGATATCTCCCGGTAGGGAACCGGTTTTCAAACGGGTTCTGGTCTGTCATTTCAGACAGAACCCGGTTGAGAATCGGATCCCTACTGGGATGTAACTGCCATTTCACACACAGAAGCCTCTGTTCCATTTTGGAACCGGGACTGAAGCGTTTTACCTGTAAACCGCTTCCGAGTAGTCCTCAGTTCCCTCTCCCGGTTCCAATACGCTTCCTTCCTGCCTTTTTTCGCCCGCGTGGGCGATCTCCGGCTGTTTTTTTTTTTTTTAACGGTCGATTTATAGCGTTATAGCGCTATAACGGTATAACGGAATAGCATTATATCAATCCCATTGGAATGCATGGAGTGTTTTGTTATACTGCTATAGCGCTATAGCGCTATAAATTGAACGTTTTTTTAAAAAAATTGATCACTCGCGTGGGAGTAAAACGGCGGGAAAACAAAGCAGTGCAAGTCTGAAATGCCAAACCGCTTCTGATCCGGCTCATTTCCGGTAGGGGTAAGCCGTGTGTGAAATGGCAGCCCTGTTCAACTCAAAACGGAAGACTCCCGGCTTGAAACCGGGAGAAACTGGGTAGTGTGAAATTCCCTAGTGTCTCATCCTGGACAGGAGACCAGGAGGTTCTCACCAAGGTTACTCCGGAGGGAGGCTGAAAAAGCTTTTGCATTATTTCATTTAATGCAGAATTATTTTTTCTGTAATAGCTGAGTTGGTGCACTCCAGAGTATTTGGGTTTATAGTTTTGTAAGCATGAGTGGAATGCCCACTGCGTTTCACTTTATGTTTTGTTTGTGCTTTGTTGACTGAGGGAGCACACCTAAGAAATAAGGGAGCTATACCAGGACCTTGTGTCGCTGTTACCGGCAACTATGAATGTATCTCTTCACATTTAATGAAGCACAACTCATTAAAACACCCACAAAGGACATTATTATAACCATTTATCATTATAATATCGATACAATGAGTACGCAGACTAATTGGGCTGTTCCCCTAAATACAAATCTCTAACTCTTGGACTGGGGAATTCGGCCCCACAAGGTTCACCTGCCAACTCCATGGTTATTGGTCCATGTCCGCAACCCTGGTTATTTGGGGGGGGGGGGGGGTGGCCCTTTTCTGACCTCTTAGAATTTGCTGAGTTGTTGAGTTAGGGGACATAACCTTTTCCTTTCACCCCAAATTAATCCTACTGCCAGAATGCTTTGGGTTTCAAAGCAGTGAGACCCCCAAAAACCTCACAGCAGGCTGGACTGGAGAGGGAGGAGGGTTGAGAAATGCCTCTCTAGAATGGCTTGTCAAATAAACATGTTTGTGAATTAAGGATGCCGGCTGGTCGCACTATGGTTACATCAGTAGGTTACACCAGTGCTAAAGGAGAGATCAGCTGATCCTTCAACCAGCAGAGCCCATTGCCCCACCTTGTTTTCTTTCCTGTGGGATCATGCCAGCTAGTCACACTATGATTATGGAAGTAGGAAAGAGGCTGTACGTATCCGTTACCCCCTAAACTTGTCTATTGCTTCATATAATTTGGGAAAGGAACCGTTTTTGCCATTTGAAGATGTTAGAGTTCAAATGGCAGATAACCTGAAGTAGCAAATTCCAGAGGAGGGGAAAAACGAAAAAGGCTTTTCTTTGTGTAACTACTTTCTCAGCCTTTATGAACTTCCAGCACCAAGGCCAGCTATAGGAAAGTTTACCCCTTGTATGCATTCTCTGATGAACATGAAGATCGGACCTTTGCCTCAAGCACTTGCCTCACATTGAGCATTGAGAAGGTTCCTTCCCTGGGAAGAGTCCTCGATGCTAAAGGAGAGATCAGCTGATTCTTCTTGCATCAGAAGCCATTGCCCATCCTTGCTTTGTTCACAATGGGATATTTTTGAGCTCTTGAACACGGCTGAAGCTCTTTCCACACTGTATTTATAACATTTCTTCCCAGGCAGCGTAACGTTTCACTTTAGATTCAAGCTTCTTAAAGCATTTTTTACCTTTTTAATACTTATATGACCTGTTCTTGTCTTTTAGGTGTGAAATTAGAGAAAAACTCTTTTCACGACTAAGCAGTTACATAATTTCTCCTTGTGTGGATTCCTCGATGCAGTAGAAAAGTGTCACTCTGACTGAATCTCTTTCCACACTCTGAGCATTCAAAAGGTTTCTCCCCTGTGTGGGTTCTTTGATGCCGTTGAAGACTGCTACTCACACTGAATCTCTTTCCACACTCTGAGCACTCAAAAGGTTTCTCCCCTGTGTGGGTTCTTTGATGCAGTTGAAGACTGCCACTGTGACTGAATCTCTTTCCACACTCTGAGCATTCAAAAGGTTTGTCCCCTGTGTGGGTTCTCTGATGCAGTTGAAGATTGCCATTCTGACTGAATCTCTTACCACACTCTGAGCATTCAAAAGGTTTCTCCCCTGTGTGAGTTCTTTGATGCAGCTGAAGATGGGCACTCCGACTAAATCTCTTTCCACACTTTGAGCATTCAAAAGGTTTCTCCCCTGTGTGGGTTCTTTGATGCCGTTGAAGAGTGCCATTCCAACTGAATCTCTTTCCACAATCTGAGCATTCAAAAGGTTTCTCCCCTGTGTGAGTTTTCTGATGCCGTTGAAAAGTGCCATTCTGACTGAATCTCTTTCCACACTCTGAGCATTCAAAAGGTTTCTCCCCTGTGTGGGTTCTTTGGTGCTTCTGAAGTGTGCCACTCTCACTGAATCTCTTTCCACACTCTGAGCACTCAAAAGGTTTCTCCCCTGCGTGGGTTCTCTGATGGTGTTGAAGACTGCCACTGTGACTGAATCTCTTTCCACACTCTGAGCATTCAAAAGGTTTCTCTCCTGTGTGGGTTCTCTGATGCAGTTGAAGATTGCCATTCTGACTAAATCTCTTTCCACACTCTGAGCATTCAAAAGGTTTCTCCCCTGTGTGAGTTCTTTGATGCAGCTGAAGATGGGCACTCCGACTAAATCTCTTTCCACACTTTGAGCATTCAAAAGGTTTCTCCCCTGTGTGGGTTCTTTGATGCCGTTGAAGAGTGCCATTCCAACCGAATCTCTTTCCACAATCTGAGCATTCAAAAGGTTTCTCCCCTGTGTGAGTTTTCTGATGCCGTTGAAAAGTGCCATTCCGACTGAATCTCTTTCCACACTCTGAGCATTCAAAAGGTTTCTCCCCTGTGTGGGTTCTTTGGTGCTTCTGATGTGTGCCACTCTCACTGAATCTCTTTCCACACACAGAACATTCAAAAGGTTTCTCCCCTGTGTGGGTTCTCTGATGCCATTTAACATTCCTCCTCACACTGAATCTGTTTCCACACTCTGAGCATTCAAAAGGTTCCTTGACTCTCTGTATTCTTTGGTGTACAAAGAGCTGTGATCTGTTTCTGAAGTAATTTTCACACTGAATGGATTTACTTGCCTTCATTATCCTGTTCTTCAGAATATTTGCATTTTGCTGTCTTCCATCTCTCTTCTTAACCATATGACCATCTTTCTTTCTTATCGGTTCGCCTCGATTGCTGACATTTTCTTTCAAACCTTCATCTGGCATTTGCTGATGAAGTTTCTCACCCTCTTCCTTCCTCTGATCATCCTCTGCTGGAATAAAGAGAGAGATCCTGTTAGAACCTGGGAGGGCTGATAAGGTCCAAAGACATCTATGGGACTGTAGTAGATAAGGATTGACGGCCTGTGGCCAACTTGGCCAATCTTAACTACCCCTCCACCTTTTCGCAGAGTATCTAGTATTTAAGGATACTTCACCCCCTCAAGTGCCACAGCTGTGCGCTTGCCCAGAAGGAGCTTCTGAGCCTCCAGATCTCAGACCCTCCCTCCTTCCTTTCCCACTGGGATGTATGATTGTACGAAATGTCGCTCAGAAGTGAATCAGAAATCCCCCATTGCACTTCCTTGCCTTTTTCCTTAACATAACCGTGACGGATACTCACTCCCAGTCAGCTCATTTGGGAAGGAAATATGCTCTTGGGATCCTCTTGAGGAAATGTTTAGCCTTTCTTCAGATGCAAGGCCGTTGCCTAACTCCACTGTAGTTTCTCTTATACTCCTGCCTTTGGTCACAGAGAGATAGAGAGAAAGAGAGAGAAAGTGATCATTCTTATATGGGGAAGGAAAGAAATTGAAGACTAAAAATTCTTCTGGAAGGATGAACCCGTGGTCAAGAGCAAAGCCCACAATCCCAACCAGTATTAGGGGAAAGTATAAGGCGAAGCATCCTAGTATAAGGCAAAGCACCCTACTTTCCCCAAGGGTTTATGTATTAAGTGACGTATTCTGAGTTGCAGGTCTTTGTGACTTGAGTCTTCCCGCAGCTAACATCCTTATCTTTTTCAAGGCTGGACCCAAGAATGCAGTCATTGGTTAATAGTAAATGGTTAATCGTAAGAATCTGTATCCAGTTGTGTAGCCGGGGAGAGGGGGGATTAGGAGGTGCCGACTGGCTCTGGAAAATTCCATCAAGGTCGTTAGGACAACGTGACCCTAGGTGGTAGGAAGTATAATACAGGTATAGGCAAGAGGGAAGCCAGGCTAAATTTATGCTCATGCCATGCTAGCATATCTTGATATTTTCTGGCTGTGTCATGATGAATAGATTTCTGTAGAGTGACTTAGGCTGCAGCTGGAATGCTTACAGCACAACAAGCGGTGCCACCGAATATTCCATCAAGGTCGTTAGGACAACGTGACCCTAGGTGGTAGGAAGTATAATACAGGTATAGGCAAGAGGGAAGCCAGGCAAGAGGGAAGCCAGCCATGTCATGTATAGGCAAGAGGGAAGCCAGCCATGTCATGTATTAGATAGAACCGTTCGCTTTCTTTGTTTTTCTTTAGCTGAGCTGTATAGGCAAGAGGGAATACAGGTATAGGCAAGAGGGAAGCCAGCCATGTCATGTATTAGAACCGTTCGCTTTATTTTTCTTTAACTGAGCTGTACCAACGTGGCTGTTCAGTGATGTTTTATTTTTAAATCCTTAAAAACTTTTATAGACTTAAAAGGGGGTCGGCTTTACTTCTGCGCTCTCTTCTCATGAACCCACTGAACTGGGTGCTGCTCAGGAATTCACATGGAACACATGGAATTCACTGCCACAGGAAGTGGTGGCGGCTACAAGCATGGACGGCTTCAAAAGGGAATTAGATAAGCATATGGAGCAGAGGTCCATCAGTGGCTATTAGCCACAAGGTATAGATAGGGGCTCTGGGGCAAGTGATGCTCTGTCATCTTGGTGCTTGGGGGGGGGTCAACAGCGGGAGGGCTTCTAATGTCCTGGCCCCACTGGTGGACCTCCTGATGGCACTGGTATTTCTGGCCACTGTGTGACACAGAGTGTTGGACTGGATGGGCTTTTGGCCTGATCCAACATTGGTGTGTCTTATGTTCTTATGTTATGTTAGGTACAAAGAGTAGTGACCCAGGGAGATCGTGGTTTTAGTTCCTGGCAGGATCGTTTCCAGATCACAGGCATGGCGGATGTTTGTAATCCCATTCAGGGGGGAAGGTTTGTGTGTTGTAAAGGCTGGCAACAGAGAAACGGGGATCCAGCCCCTTCCAGAGTCTTCCTGAGGGCCTCTCATCCCTCCCTTTGCCTCATGCCAGGACACCTTCTCTGGCTTGGGTGATGGCCACAACCCTGGCCTCTGCTGCCCCTGGGCAAGGACACACCCAGGAACACATGACCCTGCCTCCTACTGAATCCGACCCTTCGTCCATTGAAGTCAGTGTTGCCTACTCAGTCCAACAGGGGCTCTCCAGGGTCTCAGGTGGAAGTCCTTCACATCACCTCCTACCTGATCCTTTTTACTGGAGATGCTGGGGATTGAACCGGGGACCTTCTACATGCCAAGCAGATGCTCAGGCCAGGGAGCCACAGGCCTCAAAACTGTGAATAACTATTCAGATATTTGGATTCATGCCTCCTCAGAATGGCTACAGCACAAACCAGAAGTAAGTTTTCTAAAAGTTAAATAAGAAATCAAATAGTTTATATATTTACAGAGGTTCAGCCTACAATAGTGTCCTGTCACTTTAAGAAACAAATGCTCAACATGCAGCTGCATGGTATTAACTAGTATAGTCTTTATAGTGTCTGGATCCAGTTAGTTATAGAGAGCATTTGCCAGATAGAAAATGAAGGCTTTAGCCGGGTGAAAAAATATAGAGCATTTGCCAGCCAGAATAATGAAGGCTCTAGCCAGATATAATATATAATGATTGCTACTTCCTAAATAAGTTGGTGTTGAGAGCATGGCCAGTAAAATCTAGGAGGCTTTTTTGCACATACAAAGGATTGGCTTGCTCCAGAAATAAACACTTATTATGGAACCAGAAGTGAGTTTTCTAAGAGTTAAACAATTACATTATTATAAGTTTAAAATAACTATTTTCCATGCAGCTTTAGGTGGAGTTTTATTGATTATTGTTTATTCCAGGACATTATGAAGGAAATTAAGAAATTAAGAATTTACAATGCTGAGCTGGATTTAAGAAGCTGACACCTCCTTTAAATATTGGATTACGTCTGAGGAAGACTTTAAAGTTGAAATGAGTTCACAACCGGGTACTCATTATGTTGGACTATGTGTACTTTTTCTGCAATATTGTGTGTGAGAATAGTGGATAAATTGTTGTACTTTTGTTAAGTTTTAAAAAAGCAATGTTAATCTTATAAATGTTGGTCATATCACAGGGTTTGCTTGTGGTTTTTTTCCTGACAATGGCAGCAATTTGCACCTTTGGCTCCAAGGAAAGATCCTTACCCACAAAGGCCACATTCTGGTAGTTCTCCAGCATGACTTCCCCGTACAGAGCTCTTTGTCCTGGATCCAGCAGGGCCCATTCTGCCTCAGTGAAGTCGATGGACACCTCCTCAAAGGAAATGGGACCCTGAAAGGAAAAGCAGATTCCCTCATCAGATCACGTCAGGCAGAGATGGCACCCTGGAAGGGAGTAGTCTGGGAAGGTACGGGATGTAAGACTTCACCTGGGTAAAGGGAATGGTGTTCAGAGGATCTCTCACCCAGACACCTCATAGAAACTGCAGGAGCAAAAGCTCCCCTGAGAAAGGAAGAGGGACCCGGGTTGTCCCCCCTGCTCATTGTGGCAGAAAAATCAGCGAGCCTGGGGCATTTCTGAACAACAGCCTGGATAGGCTGAGGCCTCTGTTTGGTTCCTCTCCCATGAGACTTTGCAGGCTTAGCTACTGTCATCTCTCAAGCCTCTCTCTAGCCTGACAAGCCACTCTGCTCCAAAATGAATAGTTTTCATTTCTCTAGGTCTATCATGTCACCCTCATACTGTCTGAAAGACTCCTCGTGAGAAGGTTTGTAGCTTCTGACCTGCAACAGACTTGCTGAAGCAGGTGGCTGTGCTTTCAGTAAGGTCACAATAAAATTCAGACATAACATCCCTGACTGTACACTTTAGGGTATGAAGGTGAAAATTGTTCTCTTCATTTTGGTATTCTTCTGCTAAAAGTTAACCTCATGTCATCCATGTGGGCTGAACTTTGGGTACTGAGGGTCTAAATTCTTGAAGACTTCTTTGCTCTGGGCTGGTCTCCAATCAGCTCTCTGAGAGCTCTTGTTGTTGACTAGACCGGGGCGCTCTCTCTTTCACACTAGTGCACTAGGTTTGTGTTGAAGTATTCTATGCTGAATATGGAAATGTTATGTTTTCACCCTAAAAGATATGTAAGTGCTAAAGTGCTTTCTGTCCTTTAGGAGGCTTATATTGTAAATAAACTGGGTGTTTTTTGAGAAATGAGGTCTCACTCCCTTCCCAGTCTTCACCCAACGAATGAAAGAACTAAAGGTGAACCGGAGGGTCCCAGGGAAACAGTCCGGGGGTCCCAGAATTCCGCAACACTCACCTCTCCTACCTGGACTGGAGGTATGGCAGCCATTTCCACACCTCTGAAAAGATGACAACTCAACAGCATCTCTTCACTGCCTGTTCCTGAGACAAAGGGGGAAAGAAGGATGTTAGCTTGCCTGTTCCCTGCTTCACACAACCCCTTCCCAAGGTTGTGGATCCTCGCCCTGTGTACACTCTATGCATTTCTAAACCCTTTTTACTGAATTCTGGGAGAGGCAGAAGAGAAGTAGCCATGAGCCTCATCAGGGATTATAAATGCGGCCAACATATTTCAGACTTCTGTGAGACCTGTGTTTGCTCGGCGGGGAGAGAACGATGTTGCATGACACGTCACCGTCACATTCGGACCAGACGAGACTTGAGTGCA